ATGCTCCTGCATAGCTTCGTCTAGTCTGTTTTTGAAGATGTTCATACTCGGAGCGTCAACGATGCTATCAGGGAGGCTGTTCCACATGTCGGTGACTCGAAGCGAGAAAAAATGTTGTCGCATGGATGTGTTTCAACGCTGTTTTTTAGTTTATAGCCGTGGCCCCTGGTGTTGGTTCTTGTTTCAAAGTCTAGTAATCCTTCTGGGACCTTGTATAAGCCATGAGTATACTTTTATACTTCAATGAGGTCCCCACGCAGACGTCGATAACTGAGGCTTGGAAGCTTCATAATCTTTAATCTTTCCTCATAGGACTTGCCTTTCAAGCCCGGAACTATCCTTGTTGCGCGTCTTTGAACACTCGCTACTAAATTTAAGGTGGATAACTTTACATTTGTCAGCGTTAAAACGCAGCTGCCACTTAATTATCAGCCCAGTCAACCAGCCTGTCAAGATCACCTTGCAACTGTACTTTTTGCGACGTATTCTTCACTGTATTATAAATTTTTGTGTCGTCAGCATACATCGAGCAAACGCTAGACACAGCTTCTGGCAGATCGTTTATAAACGCAACGAACACAGGCCCGAGAACGCTTCCTTGTGGCACGCCGCTGCGCACTGAAGCCATCAATACTGACATGTTGTCGTCTCCCTACTAGAAAATCTCTGATCCAATTGAGTACATTACTCTCAATTCCCAAAGACTGCAATTTCCGCAACAGCCGCTCATGTGGGACACTGTCAAATGCCTTGGCAAAATCGAGGTACACTGCTTCTACTGGCTCCCTTTCGTCCAGCAGGCGGGTCCATTCCTTCAGTCGCTTCAGAGTAGACAAAAGGTTAGTGGTGCAGGATCTCCCGGCAATAAAGCCATGTTGACAGTCTGATATGAGATTATTAGCAGTCAAATGATCTATCAAACGATCCATCACAACAGATTCCTCACAACAGATTACCTTGCAAAAGACACTTGTCAAACTGACAGGGCGATAGTTGCTCGGGCAGCTTTTGTCACCTTTTTTGAATAATAGTGTCACTTGAGCTTCTTTCCAGTCAGCCGGCAAGATCCCTTCGTTCAAAGTTTTTTGAAAAAATGACGTCAAAGGGCCGGCTTGGACAGTTGCTAACTCTTTGAGTAATCTGGGGTGGAAGCCGTCTGGTCCACATGACTTGTTTGGATTTACAGCGATAAGGCGCTTGAGAACCTCTTCTTCTTGTATTTGACTGGGCGCTCCTCAATAGCTGGAATACTGTTCAAGTCCTCTTCAGTGAATACGCTATTGAAAAACTGATTAAGAACGTTAGCCTTGCCCTCATCAGAGGATATCTTTCGTTGATCTACTTTCAAATAAGAAATACCTTCCTTTATCATGCACTTCGAGCTAGATGTTTTCACGACTTCGATTGTTGGGAAGGATTCTTCAGACTCCGCATAACATCGGTGACATGGCGGCACATAACTAATGACGTGCAGTGGTTGGCAGTAAATAACTAACGGCGTGCAGTGGTTGGCAGTACGTAACTAATGGCGTGCAATGGTTGGCAGTACATAACTAATGTCGTGCTGTGGTTGACAGTAAGTAAATATTTCTGAAATTATACAATGGCAGGACAAGGTCCACATCCATGTGGCAGGGTGGCCCAGTGGTTAAAGTTCAGAGTACCAAGATTGACGCACTAGAGAGGCGCGGGTTCGATCCCAGCTCTGTGCGACAGTTTCTGGTCAGAATCGGCAAGGAGGCCGGGCGGTTAAGCACAGCAGAATTGTAGCGAGTTCGAGACCGAGACCTCAAAATGCTGTGAATGTTCTGCGATGTTAAGAATCGGCGACAGGCCTACGGCCTAATAAACGCTGAAACCGCTATTATTATTATAAGATGAGGGGCATTGTCATGACAGAAGCGACTCATGCGGAAAGTCCATCATGTATAAAAATCTTTTAGTTCAAATTTTTTTGTTTCAATTTTTTAAGAGCCTTCCCTCATCGAAAAAAAACTAAATTTTAGATAAAGTGAACGAAATTCTCTCCTATTTCTCAAGGACTCGATTATAACCAATCAATCGTCACACACATGGCAAGAAGAAGTACGCAGTTGTCGGCCACAATTTTAGCTCCTGAACAAGCCTTGTAGCAAACGCTTTGTATAAACATGCTCAGCTATTGTCAGCCTCAGAGCTACAATGTTGCAGACCGCGCTAGAAACATCACAAGCCATATAAACGAATCTAATAGGCTCAATTTTCAACAGTTAAAGTTCAGAGTACTTATTTATTATTTATTACTCTATATTAAGTTACTTATTTATTTTCAGTTAATAATAGGTCTTTTCATATGTCGGTTATCGTCGACCTGAATGCATGCTATATGACATTTACATAAGTAATAAATGGTTATTAATGACTGATTCTGAAGCATTAATAAATTGTGAAGTATTAAGTAATTGGATCCATCCTTCCTTTCACATCACTCTCCGTCACTCTATTAACATCTTGAATTTTGTAGTAATATTTAAATCACATAAATTGCTGGGTTCAACGTTCCTTAATTAATCAGGTCAAGCCGGGTTACTAGCAACGGATCATGCTTCTTGTTTCTGATAGTGACTCGAAATTCCGAAATTAATATGAATACGAAGAAGAAATTTGGCAGTAACTCCTAAACTAAATTTTAGCGATTAAGGTGACAGTGTCTACTGTCGTTAGAACCGGATGACACAAACTCATATCAAGCCAGTCCTTGAATGAAACAATGAAAAATTACACTGGTCATAGTAACAATTTTAAGCCTACACTAACTCAAGCATACGCAATTGAATCTTGATCATAAGTACCAACGTATACACCTACGTACCTGTCAAACCTCCTGCGCTGGTATAACTGATTTCGACACGGAGTTCCGGAGGCCCAATAACGAGTTACCAAATTTATCACTTCGTTGGTATCACATTTACATAGTTCTAATGCTCTTTCATGCTCTTTCACGCCCACCGAAGGACTTTTATATTTACGACCACAGACGATTTAACGCCGTCTGTAGCCGACACGGGACTGACAAAGTCTAACTTCACAGCTTCTGTGCCATCCTACTTAGTATGGAGACAGCCAGCGGCAAAACTAATGGATTTTAGTCGCTTTCAGCTGTGAAAATGGAAGAATAATCTCTTGATTAGGTATACTTCTAAATAAAATTGAGTTTTGCAAATAAATCGCCGTACTGGTGAAGCAAAATTTGTGTTGAAGACGCGTCACTATCCTCATACATATATCTCTCAGCTAAAACGTACCCAGAATTGAGGCATTTTTGAAAAAAAAAATCTTGACATTTAGTTCTTGACTTCGTAAAGGTACAATCGAGTTATCAAGTACGGCCGCTGTATACGCGACATATAAGCTGCAGCCTTAAATATTTTAGCAATCCTCTCGCTGAGTTTGATGGAAAAAGTCTCGATATTTGCTTCAGGCCATTGTCAGTTTGGCATTGTTCCAGACGTTGCCCGATTTCAAATTATTTCTCAGTCGTTTGGTTGCTGCTAACTTAATCGTTCAGCAATAATTTGTAAGGAATATGTGATAGTATGCACGATGTATTATCATTTTGTTGTGCTGACGTAGTTTACATGTAAGTAAACAAATAACTCAAATTGCCTTAAACTTCATCAGATAATAATATGACGTGAGCCCTTATATAATATATATAATAACGGTTTCAACGTTTATTAGGCCGTAGCCCGTAGGCCTGTCGCCAATTCTTAACATTGCAGAACATTCACCGCATTTTGCGGTCTCGAACTCGCAACTCACTGCTACAATTCTGCTTTGCTTAACCGCCCGGCCTCCTTGCCGATTCTTACCAGAAACTGGCGCACAGAGCTGGGATCGAACCCTCGCCTCTCTGCGCCAATTCTGATACTCTGAACTTAAACCACTGGGCCACCCTGCCTATTGGCTGTACGCGCTGCGGTAGATGGAAAATAGGTACATTTTTATCGCCACGCTGCACTGGACGTTCATAATTCATTTTAAAGATGGATCTAGTGATCCTTAAATTGTCGCAGGTCGTCACGGCTGAATAAATTATTATATTTGACGTATTCATGCAAAGTGTATTAGCATGGAAAAGGGATTGTTTAACTATGAGAGAACTTGATGTAGTAAGTAAAGAAATTGAATCCCTGTAATGTATGATGCTCCTAAATTTCAAAGAACACTTTTTATTATATAGTTTCTTCATCACTATTATTGATGAAAATTTACAATGTATTCAGCCTCTCTATGATGTCCTAGACGTTTTTTAACGAGACTGAATTATTAATACTGATATATTCAATTGAGGAGTAATTGTTCTTATATGAACCAGATCGTTATCAGGACTGGCGAGAAAATGAAGACAATCCTTAAAAATTGACAGCTCATACAGTTGAATAATTATTTCTATTATTTTCTATTTTCAGGTTGTACTTCATATAATCCATGTGTACTACTTAATTTTGGCAGAGGGAACTCGGCATATTGGTTTTCCAACAAAATGGTTAATCTTTTGTATGAGTTTCGATTAATATATTCAAAAATATATTACTCGGAGTTATAGCGAAAATATCGAAAAGTTTGAGGATATTAGGGATTTGGGGGGCCACAAAACTTTTATTTCATTTGTTGTTTACCCGCAAAACAAATGTTTTCCGACCTCTTAACGCCTATAAGTCAAAGAGGATGATTTTGGGCACCAAAACTGTCATTAGGATTTAATGATATTGTCAGTGTATAACACCTAATTTTGACTCTATCCTATAGTGCTAAACCTAAAGTAACATGTAACCCGAACAACGCTGTAGTGCTACCTCGGCAGCTTTCTTCTAGGTTATTTAGTGTCACGATCGTTGTTCATCAGGACAAGTTAGGTGTCCGTGTTGAGGTGAAGTGACGACATCAACGCCCACTTGACGATGACGCCACGGCTTATTGAGGAGCTTAACGTTAAAGTAGGCGATAGAAACAACGTGTGAATGCAACACATTTACTGGGGAGCTGAATCAAATCTGAGACCGAAAACAACAACGGAGAAAACTAACAAGAGGTTGGAATATTAGTACAGCTTTGACTTGAACAAACGACAAAGTGGCGGGCAAAGCATGAGTACATAAGTAATGCCCGTCCTGATCCCCAATTATTGCCGCAAAGATGCCCCAATTAGGATTGAGTGTTTAGCCGTACAACTGATAATTGCAGGGTCGAGAATTCAGCAAGCGACGGAAGTTATCATGACAGATTAATAGATAAATTTCGGAGCTTCAATGTGTACATTCAGTTTCATTAGCAGCACGCAAATACAAAGATGAAACACATAAATTTCAACCTATCCTTAACACGACAAAATTTTAAGCACAGACAGGGCTAGAATTGCAGTAAATTTGAGAAGTATTTATACAATTGAAGAACAAATGATGCAGATCTGGTCAATTCAGCGAGTACCGGTTTTGTATCATCGACAAAAGGAAAATTCTAATTATGTGTTCTTCATTCCTCTGCCATAGTCGATTTGATTCTCCGGACAGATTTACTAAGGTTGTGGCAACGAAAGGTTTAATTGCACGGGCTCAGCGTCTCAACAGTTATTTTTTTTGAGCAAAAATGTGAATTCTGAGCTGCACAAAGTCGAAAAAAGTTCTTGATACAGCTGTAGAAACAGCAAAGATGCTTGGCATCACTACTGCGCCCAGATAAACAGCACTCGTGCATGGCATCACCACTTCACACAGCTCAAGTAACAGCACTCGTGCGTAGCATCACCACTTCACACAGCTAAAGTAACAGCACCCGTGCGTCACGGTGCGTGTCATCACCACTTCACACAGCTAAAGTAACAGCACTCGTGCGTGGCATCACCACTTCACACAGCTCAAGTAACAACATTCGTGCGTTGTTCACTGCGTCGTATGTGTCCAAAATATGGTAAAAAATTGAGTACAGCCCAGCGTCACCAACAACCCTCTGAACTGCTCATGCCACCACAGCGTTGCCTGTCTTCCTGACGCTGCCCTCAACCTTTCTAGAATCCTGTGTTGTCTTCAACCCTAAGTTTTGAGCAACCCGAAGTTGCTTCTACCCATCTTGCCTTGCAATCAAATTCATGACAGTTTACATGTGCCGTATAAATTAATTTCCCTTTTTAATTCCTACTGCTCCATACCCATGCCGTTCCCATGCTTATATGCAGGGTTTACTTCAAGCAACGAGGGGGCGCCAGGTGCCCCCAACGCTCAAAGATTGGCACCACCACCAAAAAACATACTATTTTGAAATTGATAAGCAACACTAGAATAATCATCTTTTTATTTTAAATATACTGGATTGGCAATATTAATAACTCACTATAATGAACTTCCCTGTTGCGGGCGTTGCTCTGAAGGATTTATGTCATGAGGAGCAATTGACGTAAGCGGTGTGTTAATTAAGAAAAATTCACACGTTCAAAAATATCAGGAAGGCCATGTGCACAAACATCCAAAACGCGTTGCACCACATTAAACGATGCCCATAATAAAACACTGTATCGAAAGCCTTGTTGAAGTTTTGCCTATGTCGCACTACGTCAAAATCAGAAGCAAAACCTATTAGTAGAAATTATCACCAATCATATCCAAAGACAGGAGAAAATTCTGGTTTTCTCTAAAATTAATTACGGAGGATAAAAATGGCGCCGAAACATCTCATTCCTCTGTCGGTTCAACAAAGCCTCGGCTACCTCGATCCCGTCCTGTCCCTCTTCTACAACGTATAATCCTAGTTGGACTGCAAATTTCTTATTGTATTTCTACACTCGGTACGATTATAACTCCGCGGTATTATGGAGTCTGAAGAGGGTTAACAGTCTACTCCCAAGCTCAGTCTTACAAAGTAAAAATGAAGAACCCCGCTTTGAACGTCTTCGCAGCCACAGTTCCTCGGATGGCGATAGTTATGTTGTAGAAGGAGCCGGGCTGAAAAACAATGCCAAAATAAATCAATTTAACAGTGACACTGATGGAGATCATATTTACTTTCGTGGCTTTTTGTCACGAGTCCACCAATGAGATGAAGATTAATTTGTGTGTACTCCTTTTAGACTTTGCAATCGTAATGTTTTGCTACTAGCAACAAATAGAGGAAAAAAACTCTCAAACGCAATTACATGTACATATTATGTATGAAAAACCCAGGTATAGTAATATGACCAGACGGTGAAACACTTTCAGGCACTAACTTTTAAAGGTTTGCACAAATCAAGGTTTTCGTTTGAATTTTTTTGAGCGCTCATCGTGTAGCCGTCACAGGACCCATCAGCACCAGCGAAAAGACCGGCACTTTGATATTCCCTTAGCTTAGCTGCCGTGAAGGTGACGCTGCAGTTGTAGGTATGACCGTCGGGGAAAGCCTTGCATCCAAACCCGGGGTGTGAGAACACCAAAATCTCTGTATTTTCAGCTAGTTGGATGGTGTTGCCGCATTCGTTTACTGTAAATTGAAGTTAAAAGGATGATCTCGCTGCAGCTGAGGAGTTAACAACGAACCAAGTCTTGATATAGCACCACGCATTTCAGTCCCCCATGTCTAAAGTTATTCCATAAATTGCCACACTCAGCAGGATGACCTCCTAATGCAGCTAGACGCAATGGACACGATCATTGATCAATATTGTAAAATCGACAAGAATTAAAGTTCCATCAAATCCTACTTCAAATGTAGTGGCTCGAAAATGATAAAAATAATAATAATAATAAATAATAATAAATAAAAAGGCTCACAACTCGCACGTCTTATGCATAATCTTATAAGTTACCGATAATCTCACAGATTACATAATTAATTCTAGTGACATTTGCTCCGGTTTCGTGGTGTCATGAGTTATGGTGACATCCAATAAAAATCTCTAATAACACTAACTCAAGATCTTGAAGAATTTATGGAAGCTATGAACATTCTCGACGATCATTGTATCGGTTGTTTCAAAAAGCCAAAGTTTCTGAACTTTAGTTCGAATACATGGGATTCTTGAATGACATATGTGAATTAATTGCTACCTATATTTCTCATTCTAATTTTCGCTACCAATATAACATCTGAGAAAACACCGTGGTTACTGGTTCATTCCCTTAACTAATCCAATGCACTGCGTCACCAAAACTCACGTATGTAATAAGTCAGCCGAGTTGTGTTGACGAGGACGGGCAGCCCGCATGGGGTGTCGGTGACGCAAGAAGCCACGTCCAAAGCGCCCGAATGAACAGCGATGTTGCCGCCTTCTTCTCGTGGGAAGACGTAAAAGTACTGGTGAATTGTGACCACTGTGGGGAACAGAAGCTATTAATAGTGAAGTTGTTAGTAAATCCTTTCACTATAAAAGTGATTTATTTGGGGTTTTACAGTGTAAGTTTAATTTACATTTCAAAATCGGAGGAGGAAAACCAATTATCTAGTATGAGAATAAACATTGATCAAATCGTACACTAAGAGAATCAATGCAATTATATTGGCTGTAACTGGAAAGTGCATGTCATATAAGCAATGAAGATGTCAGAAATGAAGCCATGTTGGCCTGTCGTGTTGGGCCTTCAATATTTATGATAATATTGAAGTTATTAATGACTGGTTGTATGACTAAAAGTTTTAACTTGTAAGATATATTCAGGCCATATTATAGCGATATAAATAACAATTTTATACATCAGGGGGCTACAACTTCTCTAAAACAGGCCTAATGACGCCACTGACATGTTACAATCTCTTGGAAGGAGATTGGACCGGTTCTCTGCCATAGTAATTGTGGTAGTGACGTGTGTAAATGTTGAATAGATAAAGTTCTAACCAAATTCAGTGACGAGATTCAACAGGGAAAATGGGACATGCCTTCTCCATACCTATCCCTTCCTTGCGACACGCGGCACGGCTAAAACTTTGCGTCAAACCCTAACTGGGGTAGAAGACATCTTACCGCTCTCAAAAGGTTGCATCAATGCAGAATTAGAAAACAAATCAGAGAAAAAGTTCACCAGCTGGTACTGCTTGAATTCAATATTTTCGACAGTAGTCTTGATGTAGGGAGCAGTGCCTGTTGGAATATACATGGGTGAACATCAATTTATTGTCATAGTCAAGCGAACTGTTGCAGAAGTTCATTGTTCATAAATAGACAAGTGAAGAAAAATTTACTGTCAGAGTTCAGTGAAATGTTAGTGAGCAGGGCCTGTTGGTATATCCAATAGGGAAAGTTATTTAACGGTTAATGTTAGTGGCATGATTGGTTTGGAGTTGACATGACGAATGCGCGTAATCGGGTTTACACGTTGGTATTTCGAAAGACCTTTCAGAACAAAGACTTCGCTAGTTATATAGGTAAAGAAATTATAGGTAAAGAATTTGCTTGCAACGACTGTAGGCTATACTTTCAAAACTCGCTCAGGTACACGTTTGCAGCCAAGTACACGTTGCGGGCAAATTTTCGTCTGTAATTGGTGGCTTGCCTTGAAAAGCCTTTAATAAATGATTGGTGGGTTTGGTTCGAAAAGCCAATTGGTTGCAGGCCTCTCTAGAGCAACGAACTCTCAACTGGTTTTGATAGAAGAGCCGCTGCTCCATTTCTAACTGGAAGAGCTGAGGGCTTGATTTTGAACGCACAGTGCAATTAAGGGGTTTTAGGAGTTCTATTACGTTTTTAGAACGATGCGATCGGCAAAATTAGGCTTTTTTAGTATCGATTTTACGAGTGATTGTCATTTTTGTAGATTTTTGCACGGAATACCATATCATTATCGTTACTATACCGTCCTTCGAAGTCCTAAAAAGCTTGGATGGAGCATTTGGAATTTTTGATTGTTGAATCATTCTAACTCTTAACAACTCTAACCGAACAGAGGGAAAACATTTGGAAGAACATCTAAGGTCCAGGAATGATAGCCATGGCGTTGGCACAGCGTCACAACACGCACTCGTCTACCATAACACGCTACCAAACGCAAAGATATGAACAAATAAGGACACGCACATTCACTTCTGCATGTGGCGGTAGATACAGTTGAACTTTCACACACGCTCACAGCACAGGCTCTGAATGATTTCTGTTGAAACTGGATGATATCTGTCGAAACATCACTAACACAAACTTAATACGTTACGTACATCACTTATGACGCTATTTTCCCTCTGCTCCAATGTTGGCAGGCAAACCCCGTTTAGAGCTCCAAATCGAGGGTTGAGTTCAAAAATAGTGCTAGTCACAGCCTCGCCTAACCTAACTCCTCAAAAGTTTTTTTTTTATTTTTTTTTATTTTTTTTATTTTTTTTTTTAGAAAAGGCCTTCCACACTCACCATTCCAACAAAAAAAGAATTGATTTTATTAATTAAAAACAGGGAATGGTTTCATGTCAATGATCAGGGCCCCGACCTTAACGCCTCTGATGGTGGCCTACACCGACTCCGAGGGTCACTGAGCTGTGACGCGAGCGAGGAGCATGATTAGTCCAAGAAGTTTGTTGGATGTGTTAGCTTGCGTTTCAACATGCTTAGAAAATTTCAGCTCCTTGTCGACATAAACTCCGAGATCTTTTTCCACACTAGACTTTTTAATCATTACTCTCTCGTTGCAACCATGTCTTCTGATAAATCTTGTAATGTGTAATATAATTTTAAATGTTACTAGATAATTAAACTATAAATTTGGTAAGAATTATATATTCCAATATACGTAGGGTGTGGGCATCCAACACAGTAGTTGTAGCCGTAGCTTTAACGCATCTCATGAAGCACTTGTACATCTTACTAGTTTACCTTATCGCTCCGTCATCACTTGCCATTTTTGCTCCTGACGTCCATTACGGTACGACGTGGGGACGCTGGACATATTTATCGCCATGCTATTAAACAATACTGACTGATTTAAACTGTACTTGCATTTCTTTCCCATACGTAATTGTATCTCTAACTTTTGCGGTCCTACTTGCAAATAATTTCAGATTGTGGCTGTGGCGTGAGACCCATGACTGTGCCTGTGACTCGTGTGAATTGAAGCCTTAGTCATAAAACGTGAAGACCACCGGCAGGATGGTTTGTAACCAACCCTAGGTTGGACAATGGATTTGAGCGGTAATGCTATTATTCACTCAGTTGATATCTCAGGGACTCACCGAAAGGTACAGTCGCGGGAGGTCCGTAAGAAATGCTGGAGTTCGCCAAATAAATGACTTTCTCGCCCACAAGACAGGAAGAAGGTTTGCTGTTGAATTTGTAAGTCGTACAGGCTCCATCAAACGCAAAGGCAGTCATATCTGGAAGAATAAAATTATTTTCGGGTAATTTTTTGCAGTTTACGGCAATGTGGTCGATTATTTACGTAGTTTATTATTTCAAGCAAACTGTTTCAGCGTAAGAACTATACACCACAAAATATCATACAACCACTGTCCTCAATCGCTGATTAATGTCCCCAATCTCTAAACTTGCGCTTCTTGATGGAAATCCCTGTGTTCTAAATTTTTACTGTAGAAAATAATTAGCCTATCTTTGTCCTCTGTTGGTGTGCCTCTACACTAAAATGCCAAGATTTTCGTCAGTCATGCAGGTGCCATGACTCAGATGATTTTTACAGATGACACTCCGTGCAATTCAAGTCGGCTGACAATTGCTAATATGCACAACAAACATAATGATTGGTTCTGTTAATTGTCAATGTAAATGTTCTCCATCCGAAAGTCGCGATTCGTGACCGCGTAGGATCGGTGATGTCGGCGGCTAACCACGGTCCGGTCAGGCTCGTCCGTAAACATACTGTAACTACGTCTTTATTGCAATCCTGCATGCTGCTGCCCATATTTTGATCATAGATCCAAGCATATTTCACCATTTAATATAGTTTGCGATAATTATTTAGTCCCATCCAAGTAAAGAAATCGCAACAACGGTGCAAATGCAGTGAGTGTCTGTCGGTTGCCTCGTCTCATCCTCCAATTGCGAAGGCGGACGCCTTCTTGAGAAACTAAAAACAGGATTCTCACCTGCCAAGGCGGACTTTCTCGCACACTGCACCACATCCGTCGCTGTGATCACTTGAGACGCATTAGTGACCCAAGCCAAATCGCTCGCCGTAATCGGAAAGCGTCGGTACGTCTGCAGGGAAGATACACGTTAGCGTCGGTTAGTCATATGGATGGACAAATATTAGCAGCAGTAAGTCTGATTGGTTGAGCATTTATTCCTGAAGGAAAGATACACGTTAGCGTCGGTACGTTTGAAGGAAGGACACCTGTTATCGTCGCAGTCGTCGGTATGTCTGAGTGAAGAACACACGTTAGCGTCGTCAGTATGTGTACCTTCTCATCTGACGTTTTCGTCGATATGTTTAGAGGAAGGACTCACTTTGCTCCACCTGTTAATCATTTATCAAGCCTCATAAAATATGCAAATCAGCGAATAGCTCGTGCATGAGCTGAATATACGAGTATTAACTCCATGCAAATGAGTGAATTTCAATAAACTGGTATGAAAAAGTGATGACATATGAACGACTCGAAAAATGATTCGCTACATCAAGAAGCAATATGCAAAATTTCGTGGAACTAAATCGGCAAGAGATAAAAAACTACGTCCACAAACATGTTTTCAGCTTGGCATTTAAAAAATATGTATAACCTGAAAGTAGTATATAATTTCCGCCGCAATGCTGAAAGTGTTTTTGTATTTGAATGGCTCACCACCATCGATTTTGGGCCCCGCATCGTCAGGGTCCTGAAGCGTACGGAAGTGGTAGTCGCCCGACAGCCCTGCAGACCAGACGAGCGTGAAGCCACGTTTACCTGCGGGTCAACATGGGTGCGTTACTCCAAAACGTTAAAAGTTAATAATTACGGATAAAGCTCTTATATTTATTGATGAAATGTTCAGCTTGCTTGTTCAAGGTTTATATAAGGCTCTGTATGGGCTCTGTGTTAAACTACGTAGATCACAGTTAGGGAATTAAAACACACTTTGTTGAAATAGCGATGAACTTCACTGTGGGTTACCCTGACACAATTTGGCCCGGCCAAAGAGCACAGACGTGTTATGCTTCTGAGGTGCAATTTATCAATTCGATGTTGCTGAATGCGAAGTATCAAAAGTAGTTATGTGAACCTGATCGTAAATCCAATCAAAGGTTTCCAAATAAATGATCGGATAGTTCAATCAATCAATATGTTCAATATGTTGTAAAAATACAGAACGGACCTATCAGCTCAATTTTTAATTGACTAAAACCTAAAAATATATCGTGTCTCAACTAGAACCAACAGAAACGCTTCGGAAAATTTTACAATTGTTCAAACTTTGCCCATAACTTTGCATTAAAAACTATGTACAAGAATATAAATTTTGATATACAAATGCCTATGAGGTAAATGCTTTAATCTTCTACTCTCACACATTACTGCTTGATCTCACTTTTGGATATGAAAAATAGTTTATTGAATTATTTATATGTTTAAGCGTACATGCATTGTTAAAAAAAAGATGCGACCATTTGGGGTCTAAAGAAACTTGAAGCCTAGCTGTAACATTTTTTCAAGCAAAAGTACACTTAATAAAAAAATAACTGCACAAATAAAAAATAACCGCACAAAGTTCACATTATGGACAAATGATAATGAAAGGAGCAATCAAAATATTGTAGCAGCTCACGGTACTCACGCTGTCGGGATACGATGCCATAGAGAGTCCAAAGCACAGCGCCTGCAACACAGAACAAGTTAAAATTAAACCAACGGAACAGCATCAGGAAAAATAAATAAAAGTAAATAACACTTACAGTACATAAGGCATTAGGAGAAGAAGTAATAACAACCATCTTCGGATGTATTCAAAATTGGGTTGCTGTCATCGAGGTTAGTTCAATCATCAGACCTACAAGAAGGTACGTAGCGCTTTTGGTGCAAAAAGATGCAGTAACCTTGCAATTAAAGTCAGGACATTTCGTGAGACTGGTAAATCGTAAATGCGAATCTCTATAAATTTTCAGTGCTCTTAAATTAACTGACACAGTTCATCTTTATTAATGAAGGGAATTTTTAAGATATTTATGCGTACAAAAAAACATGCACGATGTTTTTAAGAAAACTTTGTCATCATTTTTTAAAAGAATTATGTTTAAAAAAAATATTTCAGCCATTGGCAACTGAGTGACTTTCATGAATGTAAATTCATTGCAATTTGATTATAATTGAGGATCTCGCCACTGATAATATAAAAAAATTTTCCAAAATTACAATTTAAAAAAATGATGTTCGACTATGCATAATTGTCATAGGTTCTCTGATATCTGCTATTTGATGCTGACTGGTTTTGATTTTGAGGCTCGCATCCTGTGAACATTTCAACGCGGCCAAATCATATGTTATATACATTATTGCATTGAAGATAAATAATCGAAGCATGCACCGAAAATCCAATGTGTGCTTGCAAGTCATTCAATTGCCACGTAGCATAATAGATAAGTTTATCACTCCGTATATTTTGAGGATATGTCTCATGAACAAATATAAGTTGACCTCAGTCTCACCGAAGTGAAGAGGCCAGTGAGGATGTTCTTTATGCGAAGCTCCTTCATCATTTTGACTATAATGTTTCTCTTCACTTTCAACAACTTTCAAACAATGATGATGATCACTGTAAAAATCATTAGGTTCTGTATTACAATATACGTTATTTTACCACAGTTTACCTACACACCCAATCCTTACTACCGTTATACCAGTAAAGTACGACAACCATATTTGAAGAATGATGTCTTAATTTCTACAACGTATTTTTAGTTATTAGTTTATTTAAATTTCAAGACAACGAAGATCTGAACTAGGTTTACATATTTGATGTCATAAGATATGGTGTCTTCACATTTATAGGATGCTTCTGAGATTTAAGAACAATAAGAAATGTTGACGAAGCTCATCGAGACAAGTGAATCAAAGTAAAAATGGGGAATAGGAAGGAAATAATTATTTCACTGGCAATATGCGATTCCGACGAAAACGGAGAGCATCGATATGTTCACTAGCCATTGAAAAACTGGGAAACTGTCTAACTGGAAAAACAACCAATCCCTATTGCTGCAAGTGATCCCAGAGAGTAATCAAATAGCTCATTAGGACTGTGTCAGTGATATGGCCAGTTGCTGCCGTATTGCAATTGTAAACTTGAGTGTTAATGTCGCTATTTTAATGGGTAAATATGAGGAGGAGTTCGAGAAGTAAATGAATCAAATCTTCCTCAAACGGCACTCCTGCTCCCAACATCTAAGAAACTCTAATATTCTTTAATTTGAATAGGCGATTCTAGAACACCATCAACAATGTATGCAAGCAGGAAAATTTACTATAAGCAGGCATTACCAAACGAAGCAAGAGAACATGAGCTTTCAAACCACCTATAATCCCGGCAGTGGCTGGCAATCAGAGAGAGAAATACGAATTTTGTCCATATTTTAATGCGGAGCAATATGTAAAAGCTTGTTAAAAAACGACGAAAGTTCAGAGTACTGAGCAAGCCTTTAAAACTTCGTGATATGGACAAGGCCATGCAGCAGCCAGTGTGGTTAGGCGTGGCCACATACGCATAAAGCCTCGTCACATTTGTAGTCAGTACGAGCATGTATGTAATCTTTATCACCACTGAAGAGGAGTGCGTGTTCATGGCAGGTCGCGTCTAAATTCACAATCAACAAAAATTTATTTCAGTGGGCAAAAGATATCAGTGGGCAACGTAATATATGCCATCAATTGCTAAAAGCCGTTGGGGCCAGAAGTACACAGCTACTGCTCAAATCTGTCTTCATTTTACAACACTTCTCTTTAACTTCACTTCTTGTCTGTCTGTCTGTCTGTCTGTCTGCTACAAATCTTGTAATCAAAATGTAATACACTTCTACTTATCCTATCGATCTGAAATTTTGCCTACTTGTGTAAAGTTGGAGACAATGCATGAATCAAATGTCAAAATAAATGATTTTAGAAATTAAAAAAAATTTTTTATCAATATTAAAAAAATTGAAAAAATAATTTCGTCAGCTACAAATCTTATAACTGATATTTGACACACTTTTACCTGTCTAATTGATCTGAAATTTTGCACACTGGTGTGAAATCAGAGGCAATGCACGAATCAATTAACAGAATAAATAATTTTGAAAAAAAGCAGGTGAGCAGTTAACTCACTCAGGGGGCAGGTGAGCAGTTAACTCACTCAGGGGGCAGGTGAGCAGCAAAAGGCTTGTAGAAGAGAAGGCAAGAGAAGTAACCCCCGCCGCACGGACGTCATCAAAATTAAGACAAAGTACGAAAAGTATTTTCTGATATAAAGTAAATCTCGTCACACCCGAGCACCAATGGAAAGGTAATACCAAAGAGGCACTGATATTAGGAGAAAAAATGCACTGTAATTAAGATGTCGGTGACTAGGTATGTCTTCAATCTTTCCCTAGGGGAACAGTAACCTGAGAGTGCTTTGTCAATTGCGAACGGCAAGAATCCCGCACTACAAACAAAGGTTTTAATTTCCAAGGGAAACTTCTTTTACCTGGAATCTCAAATCATAAGTTCAGCAATTGCTCCGTAAATGATTTTTTAAATTTCGAATGTGATACATGAATTTATACTTTCACAGTGAGTAATCTTAATTCCAATTTACACATATTTTTCTTTATGTTTTAACATTGAGGCTAACTACGCAGGGATTTTTTGAGTGTGGTTATTTAGCCCACAGTCAGAACGTCACTGTGGAAGTTTTATAAAAAGTCATGAACTTCGTGAAGAGAACGAATGTTTTGAATAATGCACTATTTTATACGAAATAAAAATTATTCCTATCAAAAATATATTGCGGACACTGAAGATTTAATATCTTTAAATCTTCAAAATTTTGAAGCCAGAGCCAATGAAGCTATATGGTGCGATACATATATAGTGAACACATATTTCCATAAATATTTCTTAAAATGTCCGCTAACGCTACTTTTCTTATAAACTTTATTGCTATTTTCAGATCTTTCATTACTACGGTAAACTGGATACATTGCAAAAAGTTCAACTTTATTTCGTTTCCAAGATGTATCTTTTTCTCAAAAATATTCTACATAGGTATAAGACAATAATCTACAATACAATTATGTTAATATGAAGAGGAGATATGATAATTTAAAAACTCGGTTAACATTTTTGCATGACAGTTTGTATATTAAACCTATGTTTATATACAGTCACAAAACCTCGCCACAATTTACTCTGTCGGTGGTGAGCGCAACCACGAACTATCAACCAAATAAATTCTTCACCGCGGAGCAACTATCCGCTACGAGCGACCACTCGAGACAACCAAACCGAACACAACGCACACTCTAAATGAGGCCGACGCAAGTGTTGCGAAGTGAAGTGTGCAAGGGAAAGTTGGCTTTAGGGTATTCAAAAATACAACTGTATTCAAAAAGACAACTGGCTATGGTGTATTCAAAAAGACAACTGTTCCGTCTCATTCGCAGCTGCGCTGGTAGTTATGTATGACCCGAAAATGTTCGTTATTCTGTTTTAGTGATACATCTGTTTTGATACATCTGTTGTCTGTTTTAGTGATACATCTGTTTTGATACATCTGTTGTCTGTTTTAGTGATACATCACAAACTTGTTCATAGGCACTTATTTTCAATTTATCCATGTATACATACAGAAAAATAAGAAATTTTCACTAATTCCTTCTTTTTATTTCATTTATATACATATTTATTCATTTATTATTCTGTTTTTTTTTTTCATGAAAAAAGACGCCGCGGAGGAATCACCACTCTATCGTCTGCCTCCATTGATGTTTTAAGTGGTTATATCTTCAAAATTTCTCTTTTATGTTAGCTATTCCAGCTAAAATGTTCAGACACGTGATGTCAGAATGAGTTAAAAAATGAAGCTTGGTGCATTTTGGTGTTTTTAGAATTGGTGGAATAATTTTTATGTGCTCGGTGGACCACATTTGTTTACTGTGATCATTATATCGGCAGGTAACTATGACTCCCCGTGATTGATCTCGCTCCGACTGACGTTTTGATATGAATAAATCGATGCCTTCGTGCAGCTAATAACAAACGAGTGTACACGCTTTGATTGATGGAGTCTGATGTTTAAACCCACAACACTTCTAAGAAATATTCTGATATAGTGAAAAAAAATCACTGACGTCGATGAGTAAAATAAAAGCTAGACTTCATGCTGAACGCGCAGCATGAAAAGCTAGACTTATGCTAACTAGTAATTAGTAACGCTCTGATTGACGCACATGATCAAACACACTGAACTTTGAGTATATTTTTCAGTCTGGTGAATAAGAAACCTGGACTCACAAATGAACCGTGATGGAAAACCTGATCATGCAGTAAAGCTCGATCGATCACGGTAAATTTCTTCCAATGAGAACACCATGATATCGTAACTTCATTCGTATTCGCGTTGAATAAAGTCTTTAGACATAACATCTTTTCTAATGCTGGTATACACAGTAATGTTGAACCGATTATTTAATTTACAAATTGAATATAAAAATAAAACACCCAATAGTAAAAATAGAAAATAAAATATTATTATCATTCAAATAAAAATAGAAATGAAAAATGTAAGAAAATAAAATTTACTTACAATATTTTAAAATGTTTTAAATACGCCGCCTCCAGCAGTTTCTGCAGAGCATCCGCTGCGCAGACCACAGCTCCCCGGGGCACCCTTTTCAGTGCTCTACCATTAGCACAACACCGAGAAACATACCCCAGGAAGTCGAAATCTACGGGCCCTTCTGCTATACCGACACCGGCTCTACCCAAGCAACCCGGGCACAGCCAACGCCCGAAGGCGTCTGCCTGCGCTCTAGTCAGCCCCACGCATGAAAGATGGTAACATCCCTCACACGAAGAACAACTAACTGTCCTCTTCCTGTTGTTAACAGTCGAGCAACTCAGGCACCCGCGTCCTCTCCCCTCAATCCCCCGGCCGTTTCCATAAGGTTAGGCAAAAACCAAGACGGAACGGCTGCTGTGGCTACAATCAAAATTACGCTTATGCTAGATCGAATACTACGTGCAACCAGTCAAGCAAGTGGCACGCCGCAAAAGAATAACGAGCACACCCAGTAGAAAGACGTGTCAATAATAAAATCGCCGCGTCAGCAAGAACGAGACGAGAGAATGGGAGCAACGTACGCGCAAGGCTACAGAGCAAACAACAAGCAATCGAAGAGCTCTAGGCACCACACAACCTGCTCTCGTGGATGCTCAGTCAACACTGAACGCCCTCAAAAGTTGCACGGGAGGGCGTCTTCTGAACATACCTACTAAGTATGAATAATTGTTGTTATTCGTTTTTTTAGGAGTTAGGGTCGTCCCCCATGTAACTCATGACTCAAATTGTTACTAAGTCTTTACTTTTTACTTATACTTATGGGAGTACTGGAAGCTGGTCCATGTAGTCCTATTCAGGTTTAATAAGTGTCAAACCACTCTGAAAAGCTAAAGGAAGAAAACACACTCACACACACAGAATAAAATAAAATAATAATAATAAAATAAAAAAGTAAAAAGAAGCACAAAAGGAGGACAAAATACAATGAAATATCAAAATAGAAAATGCAAAACATAACAGA